CTATGATTTTTTGTATGAGAAAGACTTGTAATATTAACCAAAAGACTGCCAAATTTCGTGAAGATATACCCACTACATTGAGGGTTATAAGTATTAAATCTATAAAGACTTTAAAAAAGTACAAAAAGGTCACGTGATCGGTCAAATTGACTAAGCCCGTATTGAGAGAGTTAAGGTTCGTGTAAATAAATATCATAAATGCTTTCTTCAACAAAGTTTACGTCCACAAATAAGTTAAGAAGTATATAAATCATTATTTTAGAGTATATTCCAAACATCAACAAGTTCTTATTAGATTATGCTTTATAATAATTACTAAACCTTTTAGAATATACAGCATCTTTTTCTTCAACCCGAGTGAACTCAGTCTTGGGTGGTTGTTCATTTTCCTCTTCACTCTGGGAGTTCTCTGAATTATTGGAATATATGAGTATGTAAAAATAATTATTAAAACTTAGCCAAGAACCTTCAACAAATCAGCTGTTTAAATCATGCAAAATGTTGAAATTAATTTTGAAAAATAAAAATATCTGTTCGTAAAAAAAAGGCTACAGAAATATATATATGCTTTAATAATTGTATATGAACTATATTGATTAAAGAAAATTCTTCAAGAAAAAAATAATTATAAATTCATACTTTGTTTTTCCTTAAAAGCTGTCCTTATTTTTATTAGTATTTTAACCCTCTTGCCATGGGCTTTCTTTACTCTGCATGTCACGAGGTTTTTAGTGAGCTACGTTCAAAATTTAATTAAACTACTTTTCATTTGTTGATGTTATACCAATTAGTATAGCATAAAATCATAGATAATAATCCATATTTTAGTAGTATATAAGTTTGTAGTTTTTAAATTTATAAGGCAATATTTTAAAAAATCCTGCATTTCCCAAAGTATGAGAAAAGTGAAATTTTTTCTCTAGGCATCGCCTCTTCTCTAATTTATTCAACACCCCTCCAATAAGTACGAAATTTAATGTAAATTACTCACTATAATATTGTCATTGCTCAGGCAAATCATAATTTTCATAGGCTTCAATCTTGTTTGGTTAAAGAGCTATCAAATAGAATATCAGGCCCCTCTTGCCACAACCCCCTGTCACATCCTCTCTTTCAAGACTTGTTAATAGTTCTCTCTTGCATTTAATACTACATTATTTATAACCAATAGAAAGCCAAGGTTTTTCATCTATCAAATAACATATTACATTGTTTTCTGTACAGACAATTGTCAATTTCTCTTTCAGTACAAACCTCATTCCCATGGGAAACATATCAACTGACTTTGATGAAATTGTAACAGTTCTTGTCACATAATTACAAAGCCAGAAAAACTGAGATATTTTTGGCTTTTTGCATATTATTATTCTATGTTCTTTTGTGCAATATTTAATTAAATAAAAATTATTTAGTACACTACTACCATTGGTATAAAAAAGTAGGGTTATGTGTCATCGACAGTTGACAGCAAAGAAAAAAAGCCCAGGTAAGTACTTCATTTCTTGTTTTTCATGCGTATTCTTTACTTATTATTATAAAAGTAACTAAAATGCAAAAAGAGGAAACTTTTTAGGTTAGTTAAGGTTGAATTACATAAAATAAATAACAATAATATAATAATTTTTAACAGGCACGCACACGAGCAGGTCATGGGTAATGTAATTCGATAGCATAACACGAGCTGTACATTCCCTAAGTGATTTACAGCTTATAATGGCACAGTTCAAAGTGCAATAAAACAATAAAATTTAAGTATAAATGAATGCACATTATTATTATGAGTTTAAAGCTACTTAGGATAAACAAATGTAGTTTCATGTTACAATTTGAAGTCCTTCTAGAAAGAACAAACAAGGGTAATTTATATATATATTTTTTGGGTGGTTACAAGGCCAGTCAAATTGACCAAGTTGTATAGAATTAAGGTAGAGAAAATAACAGATAAATATAAAGTTGTACTGAAAAAAAGAGTTTGAAATGTATTTAGGAGGTTTTAGAGGTTACGCAAATGAAATATGAGATTTTTGACATGAAGAAAAGTATTTTGAATCTTTACAGGAAAATCACTTTGCACTTCGGACTAGTATAAAATAAAGACTCGATATATTCAGAGACAAATCTTGATTTAAAATACTTCATAGAAAATCTGATTTGTTTATGTAAAAGACTTGCAATGTTTATTGAAAGTCTGCAAAATTTTGTGAAAATACACATGCCATATTAAAAATTAGTAGCATCTAAACTATAACAAGTATAAAGTGATCACATAAACAGACAATTCAACTGAGCCCATGTAGAGAGAGTTAACATCAAATATTACAGAAGATGCATACAAAAGTGAATTACATTAATCAAAAACTGTTATATAATTTAACCTTTGATTTGTTTTTGTTGTTTTTTGTGCAAAACTTCACAAGGTTATCTGTATTAGCTGTCCCTAATCTTAAAGTTATAGACTAAAAGGAAAGCAGCAAGTCAAAACCACCCATTGTCAACTCTTGCTATGTTGAATAGTGGGATTTGATCATCACTATTATAACACACTCATGGTCCCATAGCATGAAACGTGACTTTTTTTTTTCTTGCCAATCACAGAGCCTCAGTTACACAGTCTGATCTTCTAACCACTGGCCTGAACTAGTTTCATTAACAGACTATGTGAAATGTGAAAGATATAAACTGATTTTAATTTAATTGTGGTTATTTTCCAAAATCAATTGTTGAGAAGCAGAACTATAAAGCTCTACCAGTGGAAATAAAAAAAAATGGAATTAATTATAAAATATACATGTTGATATATTTTTTATTAGGATAAAACACAATGGACATTAACACAGCTTTTTATATCATGAAATTACCATTTTTATCCTGATCTCCAGACTTCTCAGAACCACTATTTGCCTTGAAAGAAAATCCTGTGAAGCCAGATTCTTTAGCTGTGGATAAAGTATTAGCAGTTGATGTGATTGTGTCACCCTGGCCATAGCTTAAAACTGAACCTGAGCTAACAGAATTGGTTGATTCTGGAGCTGTTCTCATTCCAAAGCTGAAAGTACTTGTAGAAGTTGTGGATGATATAGATGGAAAGAACTTGAACGTACCTTTACTACCCAATGTTGTACCTGCAATAAAAAAAAAAATTAAAAATGTTGAAGAACAGATCAATTCGTATTTTAAAAGATAAAGCAAATTAAGAAAAAATAATTATTTACAAACTTTACATATCAAACAGAGATAACTTGGTTATATATATAAATACAATTACAAACATTTATGACTATTTTGATATTTCTGGTTTCTGGAGGTTAATACATTTTTTTAAATCTAATGTTTCTGCATAAAAGTTGCACTAACATCAAGTCTTTGTCAATACTTATAAATATCTAAAAAAATATATATCACTAATGATATTGAAAAATACAACTTGTTTTTAACATCTTCATTCAACTATTTGTTTCTACCAAATTCAAGAAAACCAAGAATTACAATTATACTTTATGACTTATTGAGTTAATCACTTCTAAACCTTAAATTTCTAAACTGCACTTAAGATTCTCATAACTAGAAAATTTCATATATTGTTGACATTCCGATACATGCACATTCCTGTTTTGAATTACAAAATGAACCCGTTTGTGTGTTCTGGGAAATGTCCAGACATCTGCAAAAATAATACCATTTTGTCTACAAAATAAGCATCAACAGCATCAATTTAAAAAAACTAATTTCCGATTGAAGATATTTTTCAGTATTTAGGTATTAATAATCTAGATATAATTTATAATATATTGGCCTTTCTAGGTGCTAATTTTTTTGTTTTTAGGTGTCTTTAATTACCTATTAAACAACAGTTAATGCCACCAAATACAGTAATATTCCTTTCATCAGCTGGCTAAGTAACCTGTAAGAACCTTTTCAATCCTGATAAATTTTTCAATGTAAAAGTTGTTTGTTGAGGGAGAAACATAGACAGTTTGTTTCTCAAACAATCTATATTCTTCACTGAAAGTTAGGAGAAACTATTATCTTTATCTTATCTCTCTTATTTTTAGGATAAATTTAAAATTAAATCTAATCAAATAAAACTGAAACGTGTAACAAAAAATACCTTCTCCTCCTTGTTCTTTAAGCTTTTGGGGATCATTGTTTGTCTTGAAAGAAAATCCTATAGAGTTAGATTCTTTAGTTATGGGTAAAGAATTAGCAGTTGATGTGGTTGTTCCACTCTGGCCAAAGCTTAACAGTGAACCAGAGCAAACAGAATTGGTAGACTCTGTAGCTGTTTTTAATCCAAAGCTGAAAGTTTTTGTAGAAGTTGTGGATGATACAGATGGAAAGAATTTAAAATTTTCTGAACTTGTTATTTTTGAAGCTGAAAAAAAATAAAATAAAGGACGTAAAATTTATACATACATTTGAATATTTTAATGAATAAAGTTCTTATAAATTGATGTTATTATTCCAATTTCTTTTAGATGTGTTGAAATATACTGACACACACACACACATATTAACATCATTACATGTTTTTTTAAAACATGATATGAACTCATTTATCTAAAATCTTGATATCAAATAAAGTAGAAATGGGCTTAATTCATAACATATCTTTCTTAAACAACCCAAAACATGCTCAGAAGACACGAAAAACTATCTTGTAATTTAAGTAACTTGGGCACTAAGAGTGAGTCCAGACCTGCAGTTTTCTTAAGCCTAAAATTTTAATTTTCAGTTGTTTTTTTTAAATTTAACTCTTGGTATACAAACTTGGTCATTTTGACCTACCTCGTAGCAACCACATAACTCTGAATGTACTACGTATATATTTACAAAATATACACAAGGAAATCAGATTTATTAATAAAGTATTTGTCTGTGAACTTACAAAGTCCATGTGAAGGGTAATTTTCATGCTAAGAATAAAAATAATTATTTTCATCTTACAGTTTCATAAGTCTATAACCCCCTTAATGAATAACAAAAACTTTTAATCTTTTATTTTCTCTACCCTGATGTTAACTATAGCAGAATCATCAAACAAAAAAATCGGAAAACACTAAATAAAATCAATATTTTTTTCCCTTCTAGAATGACTGCAAGTTGTACCAGACAAAATTAACTGTAGCTGTTAGGATAAATAACTAACTTTTTCACATACACTTGCAATGATGCTCTTTAGACTAAGTACATGACTGGCAATTAACCAAAGTACAACTTACTGAAAAAAACCATTAGGTAATAATTACATGAGCAGTTAGTTTGACAGAGTTGTTCCTGTGAAATTTTTACTCAATTTTTTAAACTTTAAATTTTGTTATACGAATTATAAGTTTCTAAATTTTATATTTGGGATACTTTTTTTAAATTTTTATATACCAGTAAATATAAAATATACAAGAAAAACAAGAAATTTTGGGCTTAAATAAGAGTTGAAACCTATTTCATTCATGTATACTTTCTCAGAAATAGTTTTTTTTATGCTATGTTGGTTCTCCATAAAATCATTAATTTTGCTTTCAAATATACATTTTAGAACACAAAAAACATATCAGGCACTAGACCATAATGTCTCAAACTACTATAATTTAAATGACTTTCTAACTAGGCTATAAATAAGTTATAAAAAAACATTTTGATAGCTGCTCAGGGGAATAAAAAAAAGTTTGCAAACATTAATTCTTTGTACATTAAATAAATATTGCAATTCTAGTTGTCTATATAGAATTAGAATGACTATTTTTGCTTAAATTGTAGAATATGATACACAAATATGACCTCAACAACAGAGCTGCCATGCAGTCTTAACAGAGTTAAAAATCACAGGCTATATAGAAATATGCCATGAACAAAATGATTACAGGAACATATTTTCATGTCCAGATAGTTGTCAAACATTTCTTAAGAAAAAAACTTTATTATTTTATCTGTTGTTTTCAGTAATTAATCTCTGTAAGTGTTTGGTAAATTTGACCAATCTCGCAACCACCATAAAATAAGAAATAAACATAAATTATGCCTTTTTCATTCTAGAATGAACACAATTTATAACACAAAAACATAACAATACAAAAGTTACGACGACGCGGCTCATGAGCACTCATGTTACCGTATCAAATTAACATAAAGGTGACCTTTGGTTTGTACAAAGTAACTTGTCTTAGCTGTGTTTAGTGGACTAGTATTTTGTAAAATACAGTCACATTTGAATTATTATACATTATATATGTATATAGGTT